TGATGACTCCTGGGGATTATCCTCTATAAAGAGGCAGTAATTCAAAAGGCCCTTATTTTTGGTTTTGGAATCCAGAACCACACATGTAAAGCCTTTCTATATCAACTCTGTGCTCCATTTTCCTGTTGGCAGCATAGGACCAAAATGAGCAGCAGAGGTGAGGAGATCATGGATTATTCGCTAAATGGATAATCCCTGGTAATTAAGTTGGCCTCCCAAGTACGTCTGTGGATGTGGACCATTCTCTTTACCACCTGCCGTGGTTGTTTTCTCTTTTCCTTTCTATTGTCTGTGTTTTGTGGGCCCTTGCACTATAACATCTGGGCTGGAAGAGACAATGACTGCTATTTTTCTCAAGGGTTTCTATAAAACCAATCTTGCAAATACTTCCCAAATATTAGGTAAGACCTGCAAAAATGTGGCCACAGATGAACCTCCCAGGATACACTCGATCTAAGCAAATCTCACTTGCTTAGAAGTCCCATCCTGCAGTCTGGGGTCAGTGGCCTTGGGATTTGAAGGGCAAAATGCAATCTGCCAGGCACTTTCCGCACTTTGTTGAACGATGTAAAAATTCTATTTTCCCCCAATAAGTTCAAACACTGTGCTCCACATTTAGACTCCCCTAGCTACTTGTTTACTCCCTACCCTCGGGGTGGGGGTGGGGTAGGGTGGTGGTGTGAATAAACAAGTTTTACCATCCCCATGGAGGGGAGGGGAGAGGTGGGTGGGGGCAGGGGTGAATGAACAAGACTTTTCCTGCAGCAAAGAATGTTGGCTTCTATCAGAAACACAGATGCTTTGCGGGGGGAAACAAAACGAATAGGGGAAATAAGCTGTGGTAGTTTGATACTGAGATTTTTCTGTCCAAGGCATTTGGGCTTGTAAAAATTATTTTTATGGCCGATAAATGGCCACTAAAGTTGATGACTAATGGCAGTTTTGAAATAACCTTTCTTTTTTTTTAGTGGGTGTTGGAGGGGTCTTTATGGTTTTCCCAAATCACATCTTCCCACTAGGTTCATGGACCAGGTACAGACAATTGATCAAGGCTCATGGCTGTCCACCCTTCTCACTTCAACCCTGGGGTTAGGTCGTCTATGTTTTCAGACTGGTTAAAATCTGTCCCTGCAGGCTCACAGATGCTCCTGGTCTCCCCCTGACTCCACACTGAGCATCATTATCTCTGCAGAGCTTCTGTCTCTATGGTAATAACAGATGGGAAGTGCTACAGAATTATTCATGCTAGGGAAAGGAGACAGTCCAAAAGGGAGGGGGAGAAGAGCAGCCTTCCCTGGGGGAAAGAGAGGCTCAGTAACTGGGGAGGACAATAGTTGGGGGAGATGGGGGTGAAACTTTGAACAGAAGTGGGAGCTGAGCAAAGAGGAGGGGGAGGAGCTGGAACGGAGGAAAGAGAAGAATCTTTTGTCCCTGCTCTGTCTCAGCCATCCGGGAGAACTGCTGGCTCTATTTAAGCTGAGAGATGTTAGGGAGTGTCTACCAGAATACACCAAATGACAAAGCGCTGACAATAAAATGAGGGTCTAACAGGGACAGAAAATTGGGCACCCCTGAACAACACAGATGAAAACTCTGAACCAAAAGAGTACTGGGTGCTTTAGTGCTGGGTGGGGACAGTTTCAATTCCTTATTTTCGGGCTGTGGTGGAGTAAAATGAATCTCATCTTGATCCATCAATACTACTCAACATCTTCAGAAGTAATTTTGGCTTTTTTAAAAGTAAGGATTCAATTTTCTTGAAACTCATCCTCCTCTTCCTCTCCCCCTACCCCTGAACAAGAGAAAAGTTTTAAAATGGGCTTGTTGTTCATTCTTATCTGAGTCTTTGTGACCCATTTGGGGTTTGCTTGGCAGAGGTACTGGAGTAGTTTGCTATTTCATTCCCCAACTCATTTTACAAATGAGGAAACTGAGGCAGACAGGGGTTAAGTGATTTGCCCAGGGTCACACAGCTAGTAAGTGTCTGAGGCCAGATTTGAACTTCCTGGCACTGCCCCACCTAGTCATTTAATAGCTAACATTTACATGCTGGTTTACAATTATTATCTTATTTGATCCTCACATAGCAGCCCTGGGACGGAGGTGCTATTCTTATAACGTCTTTTACAGATGAGGAAACTGAAGCAAAGAGAGATTGATTTGGTGACTTGCCTAGGATCACACTGCTAGTAAGTGTGAGAGGTCCCATTTGAACTCAGGCCTTCCCAACTAGGGATCCAGAGCTCTAATCACTGAGCCACCTATCGAATATACTTTTCCTGACCTTTATTCTTTCCTCTTTCCCACCCACAGTTTTCTATTTCCAAAGAGACCTTTTAGCCACAATAAAGTAGTTTTATCAAACTAAGTTTATTTACACCACCTCTCTGCCTCAGGCACTAGGTTAGGTGCCTAGGCTTTGATGAACAAAAACAAAAACAGAACCAGAAATGGTCTCTCCCTTCAGGGAGCTTACATACTACTGGGTGGAGTTTGAGAGATGATAAACATGGAGTAGTGCAAAGACACAGGATTTGGAGGCTGGGAATCCTGGTTAGAATCCTGACTTACTGTGACCATGGACACATCACTTTGCTTCTCTGGAACCCAGTTTCTCACCTTCAAAATGAAGAGTAGTCATTCATTCAGTCAAGGAGCATTTATTAAATGATTACTGTGTGGTAAGCACTGCGCTAACTTCTGGGGTTAAAAAAGCACAAAGAAAGAGTTCTTGCCTTTAAGGAGCTTCCATTTTAATGGGTTTTGTTTGGCCTTTTTTTTTTTTGTGGGGATCCCTAGTGTTTTGCACAGTTCCTGGCAAACAGTAAGGGCTTAATTAATACTTGTTGACTGACTGAAAAGGAAGATAACACATAAAAAGAAGGTTCTGACTTACAGCTCCAAATCCTATGAAAAATGTGTATGGCTGGCTAAGTAGCTAAGGTAATTTGAGAAGGGAGAGCTATAATCATAGCTGATATTTACATAGGAATTTACCAAGTGGCCTCACATGATCCTCACAACACCCCTCCGAGGGCGGGCAGGACATGTTCATGGGATCATGGATTTAGTGCTGGTTTTGGTCATCTTTTTATGGATTGGCAATATTTATCCAGTACAGGAGGAAACTGAGGCACATAGCAATTGCATGACACGGAGGCAAGCAAGAATTTCTTCAGAGCCCGCCATGGGCCAGACAGACCTTGGTCCAGGCGCCGGGGATACAAGGTCACGTAAAGGCCGCACTTCTTTGGACGCACTCACACCTCTTGCACTCCATTAACATCGGAGCTGCTCAGACACCACCACCATGTTGGCAGCGCCTCTCCTAGTCTCTAACGAGTCTCTCATTCCTCCAGCTCTTGGGTGCTTAGTCTCTACTCCTTCGCTCCCCTCCCCATGTGAAAGTCAACCAATAAAAAAAAGAACCCTGAAAAAAAAACCTCGCTATTGATGCTCTGGGTGTTTTAAATCGCACGAGGGGAGGGGCCCGGACCAGGGCCAGGGAGGGAGGGTGGCTGGGGCTTCGCTTGGGCTGCAACTTTTTTTTTTTTTTTCCAGACGACCGACTCACTGGCTGCCCGCGAGCCGAGGTCAGTTCAGGCGAGGAGCCTCCGAGCGCGCCCTGTTCCGGGACAGGAGTCCAGGGGCCGGGGGGGGGGGGGGGGGGGGCCCGGGGCAGCCAGAGGCAAGGTCGGGGCGGGGCTCCCGTCTGCTGGTGCAGAGCTGGTTTTCTGGGGCGGGCTGGAGGCCCTGCGGTCTAGGAAGTGCGGGCGGGGGGGGGGGGTGCCGGGAAAGAGGGGGAAGGGCGCCGGGGAGCAGATGCTGTTCTCGGCTAGGCGAGGGGTGTCCCTGACCTCCCCGCTTAGGGGACTCGGAGTAGCGGGGGAAAGGCTGGAGGAGGGGTTGGGGGGTGAGAGAGAGCAGATGCTGCCAGGGCGAGGGGGTTTGTCCCTGACCTCTCGATTAGGGGGCTCGGAAGGGCGAAAGGGGAGGGGTAGCAGATGCTGCTCTCGGCTGGAGGAGGGGTGTTCCTGACCATCCTGTGTAAGGGGCTAAGAAGGGCGCGGGGAGGGGGTGGATGAGTAGGGGAGGATGTCCCAGACGTCTCCTGGCTTATTGGGGCGTTTTTTGGGGGGGGATGCCGCCCTCGACCTGGGGCGTCCCTGATCTCCCCGATGGAGGGCTTGCGGGGGCGCCTGGGAGGGGAGATGCTGCTCTTTCCTGGGGCAGGGGCGTCCCTGATCTCCCTGGGCCGGGGGCTCGCAGGGGCGCCGGGGGGGGTGTTAGGAAATGCTGCCCTGGGCCAGGGGCACCCCCTGGGCAGGGGGCTTACTGCCTGGTGGGGTGGGGAGGGACTGCTCTTTCCCCGGGTAGGGGGCTTACAGGGGCGTCCGGTGGGGGGGGTGTGAGGAAATGCGGCTCTTTCCCTGGGGCGGGGGGCTCACAGGGGCGCCGGGAGGGGCTTCCCTGTCCCCGGGGCAGGGGCGCCCCGCGGTCTGGCTCTGGGCCCCCGCGGGGCGGGCCGCAGACAGCTGGCTCGGCCCCTCCCCCGCAGCCCGGCCGGGCGGGGCGGGGCGGGAGGGAACATCCTGTCTGCTCCGGGCGCACCGCAGACAGGCTCGCGCGCCAGCCGGCCAGACAGCGCGCGGGGCCGCGAGGCCCAGGGAGCCCTGCGGGCGGGGGAGGGAGGAGGGGAGCCGGGCGCGCGCGGCCCGGCGTCGGCGGCGCGCCGGGCGGGGAGCGCGGGGCGGGGCCGGAGCCACAATAGAACGCTGGGGCTGGAGGGGCGCGCGCGCGCGCGCGCGCGGACGGCGGCGCGGCCCGCCCCTCCCCCCTCCCCCGCGGCCCCTCCCCCGGGCTGGCGGAGACGGCGGCGGCGGCGGCGGCGTCTGCGGGAAGCTGTGTCTCCGCAGTGACGTGGGCGGTCTGTGTGCCCGCTGACGTCAGAGGGCTGGCTGTGTGTAGCCATGGGGGGGCGGGGGGTTCTGAGCGGCGGCGCCGGCGGAGCCCGGGGGAGCCTCGGAGCGGCGGCGGAGCCCGGGGGAGCAGCGCAGGTACGGTCCGGCCGGGCCCGGCGCGGAGGGGCCCGCGGGCAGGGGAGCAGGAGGGGGGCCGAGGGGCCGCGGCTGCACTTGACCTCGGCGCCCGCCGGGGATGCCCTCGCCTCGGTGGGGCAGCCGAGCCGCCCGGGTGGGGCGCGGGGGCCACCCGGACCCCCTGAACTTGCGGGGAGGCTCTGCGGGCGTGGGCAGGGGGGCTTCTGCTCGTGTCGCCACCCACCCGCGTCCCCTTCGCCGTCCGCCCAGTTGGGGGGAGGGCGGCGAGGAGGGGGACTGGGGACCACCGGGCTGGGGAGGGAGAGGGCTCCCACCCTTGTCTGCCTCGTCTCCCCTCCCCCGTCTGCCCTCTCCCTGAGTCTGCCCCCCTCCCCCTGTCTGCCCCCCTGCGGGTCCACCCCTCCCCCCGTGTCTGTCTCCTCATCTTCTCCCCCGCCCCCCCCCGCGTCTTCCCCCCCCCCCTCCGTCTGCCGCTCCCCTCCGGTGTCTTCCCCCCCATCCCCTTCCCCCCACCCCGTGCCCCCGCCCCGGCACGAGTGGCGCCTAGTTCCCGAAGTGGGGGTAGCGACGGAAGGGGATAGAGATGTTGGGGTGGGGTGCGGCATGGCAAAGGGAGACTTCTGCCTCCGCTCACCCACTCCCCCACCTCTGACGGTCTTTTTCCGTTCCGGGCGTGGGGGGGATAGAGGGAGGGGGCTTGGGATGACCCTCCCAAGGGACCCTCCCTGGAGGAGGTGAAGAGGCAGAAAGGGACTTTAACTCGTGTCTTTGCTCTGCCCGCACCCTTTCCGCTGATCGACTCTTGACCAGCGAGCTCCGTTTAGTTTCAGGGGCCGCAGACAGGGAGAGGATGGGAGGGTGGGTGAGGAAAGGAAGGGGATTTCCACCCGTGTGTCCCCTTGCTTTCCCCCCACCCCCGCCAGCCTCCACCCTGGTGGAGTCTAGACTTGTTCCCCGGGGCAGACTGGCAGGGGGAGGGCTGGGGATGTCCCCGTCGGGTTGTGGAGGAGGAGGACTCCCACCCACCTACCCCAGCCTGATTCCTGGTGTCCTGCCTCCCCCACCCTTCCCTTGGGTTTTGAAATTGAGTGCTTGACTCCGCGTGGGTGTAAAGGACTTTCAGGGTTTGGGGAATCCCCCGTTCTCCAGGTGATTCCTTTTGCGCTTCGCAGTTTGAGTTTGCTCTCTGCGTTGGGGTTGAAGTCAGTGGGTTCCTAGTTCTCCTGTTGTCCTTCCTTTCCCTTGTTGAAATGGATGGAGGGAATAGTTCGGGTAGCAAGGTCTCCTCCACCCCCACTCCAGTTTCTTCCATTTATTCAGAATTTCTTTTCTTGAGAAGGAAATTGAAGGAGGATTTGGCCCCCCCCTTTTCCTTTCCCTTTCCTCCATTTGCATTCTTTGTGAACAGTGTCTGCAACTGCTTTTTTTGTCTCATATTAGCCTTGTTCAAGGTTGGAGGGTCAAAGGATTGGCGCATATAGTTAGTCCCAGGCATCGGGCAAATTTTCTCACCTTTTGGATTTACCTACGTTTTAAAAAAAATGAACCTTTGATTTCATAACGATACAAAAAATAATTCAGCTATACAGGGCAATTAATGCAAAAAAAAAATCAATGCAATTTAGATTAGGCCATCAATATTTACCCATGATGAGATACTGAGTGCTGATTTGAACACTATTTTTCCCCCTTCCTCTAAGTACTTGGAGTTAATTCTTTCGAATGATATTAGGGAATGCAGTAAGTAAATTATTCTGGTTATAATGGCAGTTGAAAGAGGCTCCCTAGTGATTAGCTTTGGGTGAGTTGATTCGAGTGAAGCCATTGTGTAGTTCTGTATATTGTGAGTTAGCCCCTGTACTGCGCACAAGATCTATCTCTGCCTCTGATTGCTCCGGACACCCTTTTCAAGTTGCCTTCATGTTTAAATTGAGGGTCTTCAAATGAAATTATTTAAATAAATAACCATCAAATTAACTGATTTAAATAAATCATTAAAAAATATCACCCCTTGCAAATGAACTTGCTTCACCATTGAGAAACTGCTTTCAAATGGAACCTTTGGTCCCTGGAACACATTCAAATATAACTTTTCCTTGTCCCCACCCTCTTTTTTCTTTTTTTACAGATTAATTGAAAGGAACATTGCTCAAGGCACAGATTTTTCTTTAGGTGCTGTTACTTTTGGTTGCAGAAATCCAGCTGGAGGTATAGACAGTGGTCATCTCTACTGACATCTCTACAGGGCCCGTTACAGACAGCTTTTTATTTATCTGCTAATATAGACTGTCTTTTGGAGGAATACATTTTTCCCAGTATCCTCAGGTGAATTTTAAATTTATCTTCACTGTGTTAAAAACATTTTGACATGTGTTCTTCTCTTATTTATGGCCACAAATACTGGCAAATATCTCTGATATTGTACTTTAGAAGAATTGAGTTGAGTCAGCGTATCTCAAATTGAGATAATTAATGACTTAAATTTTTTTTTTAAGTAATGTACCTGAAGAATCCAGGAAACAAGGTTCACTTAGACTTTAAAATGTGCTATGTACTTTATTCCTGGAATCTGAGACAAAAATGTTAAATACTTTTATACTTGACAGTATAAAAGTGACAACCACATTTTATTGAAGGAACTAAAGTGAAGGTGTAGAATCTCTTCAGTAAATCAAAGCTTTCTTTAAAAAGAGATGCTGTGACTGAGCGAAGCTCCTTTAAACATTTTCTTATTTTCTTCCAGAACAAACCATCAAACTAAGATGCAAATTTCATACTTAATTATTTGAAGCTTAAACAGTTCAGCCATGGAAACTCTCCCAACTCGCTTCCCTTTGGTTCAGGGCTCCAGTAAAAAACGGAATGGGCTAAGAGATGAGGGCAGCCCTCCCATGAAAAAAATGATGACCGAAATGCACGTAAATGGGAAAGTGCTGATAAACACGTTGCCAGCCGTAAAGAAGGAGAACGTGGATGACTGTGGTGAAGCTCCGATGGAGACAGATGGGGAAAAGGCCAAATCCAGCTGTAATTCAGCGTCTGAACCTTTACATTTAAATCCTAGTTTAAAGCACACGCTGGCACAATTCCACTTAAGTAGTCAGAGCTCCCTGGGTGGGCCTGCGGCATTTTCAGCTCGTTATTCCCAAGAAAGCATGTCACCTACTGTATTCTTGCCTCTCCCATCACCTCAGATTCTTCCTGGACCTTTGCTCATTCCTCCAGATAGTTCCACAGAACTTACTCAGACTGTCTTGGAGGGGGAATCGATTTCTTGTTTCCAGGTTGGAGGAGAAAAGAGACTATGTTTGCCTCAAGTCTTAAATTCTGTACTCCGGGATTTTTCGCTCCAGCAAATAAATACTGTGTGTGATGACTTGTACATATACTGTTCGCGGTGCACCTCGGAACAGCTTCACATCCTGAAGGTCTTGGGAATCCTTCCGTTTAATGCCCCGTCCTGTGGGCTAATCACACTCACTGATGCTCAAAGACTGTGCAATGCCTTGCTCCGTCCACGTACCTGCCCTCAAAATGGTAGTATGCTTCCTGCTAAAAACTCCTTGGCCCAGTTACAAGAAACTGGCAGGGCCTTTGAAGTGGAACATGAGTGTCTGGGCAAATGCCAGGGCTTATTTGCGCCCCAGTTTTATGTTCAGCCCGATGCACCATGTATACAGTGTCTGGAATGCTGTGGAATGTTTGCACCCCAGACGTTTGTGATGCATTCGCACAGATCCCCTGACAAGAGGACCTGCCACTGGGGCTTTGAATCAGCCAAGTGGCCTTGCTATCTTCACGTAAACCAAAAATACTTAGGGACGCCGGAAGAAAAGAAACTCAACAGTCTTTTAGAGGAAATGAAGGAGAAATTTAGTGTCCGGAGTGGAAAGAGAGCTCAGTCCAAAGTAAGTGCTTTCATTCTAGCATTTGAAAAGGTGCCCATTTGTTCTGATTGGAAGTGGGATACATATTTTTCTAGAAGTGCATTGATTATTTCAGAATCAAAGATCCTTTTAAGATTGCATTTGGTAGATTTTAGAAGTGTAACTTGATGCATCTTAAACCATGGAGTGGTTATAAATGTAGCCAAATGAGAGAGTATCATTACTTCATGTAGATAAATGGAAGCTAACTGCTGTTTCTGTGATTCATGATCATTTACTTTTAAGCATCAGCTCCTTTTGCAAATGGGATAAGTGAACCACAGAGACATCTTGTGGTTTGCCCCAGTTGGCATTTTTGAGTGACACACCAATGATTTTTGGCATCATTTCCCTACTGGACTATTCAGATGTTATGGTCTTTGGAATATGATGGAGAAAAAAGATTTGTCTGAAGGACTTGTGATTCCAGTATCAGAATGATCTGAACATTTCATAGTAATTGATTTTTTAAAGAAGATTATATTTACTATGGTATAGGGTGCTCTAAAAAGGAAAAATGAGCAAAAAAAAAATAAAGGGATAAATTTAGATAAAGCAATAGGAAAGGGAAAAAAAAACCCTTTGTGATAATGATGCTGATAAAGTTAGTTTTCTAGTCCAGCCCCTGCACATTTTAAACAAAGCTATATATTTCCCCCCCTAAACTAGCTTTCTTAATTCATATATAACCCCCTCTTTTTGAGTGTCTTAGTACTTTGTTATGATGAGCAAATTGATTGAAAGCAGTAAATCATGTTTCATCTGAAAATCTTTAGTCACAGTAGTAGCTATTTAGCTCTTAATTCTTCAAAACATCCCTGAGTGTTCCTTTTTTTCCAGAAGAAGAAGAAAATGAAACACAGATGAACTGTCTGCTTGAAGGTCATAGGGCATGTAAATAGTACTATATAGTGAGCAGCATAACTAGGAACAGACTTTTGATTTCTTGCCCTGAGCGTGAAAATATTGCCCTTTAAAGATATGAGAATTATGTTATCTGCTCAGTTCCGGTGATATAAAATGAAAGAGAAAATTTGCTTTTGCCAGGGTGTATTACTGTGGACTGTTTAAACCATGTAGGTTTGGAAGTGTTGTTTCCTGCCTGGCTCCCAATAGCACAGTACTTGGCATATAGTAGGTCCTAAATACATGCTTGTTTCGTGCTCCTCTGTAGAGTAAGCTGCTCCCGAAGTTGTAGTTCATTGCCATATTCCCGTATGGGTAGGCTCAGGTTTTTTTTTTCTTTTTAGCAAAGTGGACACCTCACGTTTTCAGTTTTTCAGATTTACACACAATTTTGCTCGACTTCATACAGGTCACTTCACTTATAGAAATTGTATATGTGCGTAATAATAATACCTCCTTTTTCTATGAATGATGTCCCACCTGTAAACAAATGAAGGTAAAGATTGACCTTTCTGGTGACATCCTGGTTCTGCCATGGCATTTGTGGTGCTTATTCTGCTAAAGGTCTATAGGATACAAAATGTCAGAACCCTGGGGGACAGGAAGGTACATTTTCTTGGATACGCTTAGCCCAAACTAAAGGAATAAAATGATGTGGGAATGTCCCTTGGTTTTATTAAGGTTAAAACTCATCTTCAGTCTGTGATGTGGTTCTATATTATAAAGGCCATATACATAGTAAATTTGAATATTGTGTACCCCAGAGAATTCTAGCTAACTTCCTCTTGATTAATTACACTTAAGTAACTTGAAAATTTGCAAGACCCTTTAAATACCTGACCTCATTTGAGCCTGACAGTAACCCTTGGTGACTAGATACCCTCAGACGAGGAAACTTGAGAGATCAGGGTGTTGTCCAGGGTCACCCAGTGGCTCAGTGTCACAGTTAGAATCTGAACGCGGTCTGGTCCCTGGACCCTAAGCTCAGCACTATGTCTACACCACCTCCCTGCTCTCTTGCTTATATTTGTGTTTTTCAACTAAAATAACCCTTCTGTGAACAGTTTTCAGAAAGCAGAAGGTACTGTTATAGGAAATCTTAGGCAAAAAAAATTTGAAAAAGCAACTGTGTTAGAACCATTAGTAGCCTTTTAAATTAATCTAAGTATGTTTTTTTTTTAAGCTTTGTATAAATATGTGGAAAGATTTGACCCGAAGCCTGGAAGACCCTGATACTTTGTAGTCTGGTTAATTTCTTTAAGTCTCTTATTGTTATGAGATACTTTGTAAGTTGTAGAGGAGGTGTTGACTATCCTGGTGGAAGGAATTGTCTCACTTGGGAGTTCCCTATACTTGTGAAATCACAGATCCAGTCCCCTAATCCTATTAGCATGTGTGTAAGCCTGAAATATATAGACATCTTAGAATGGGCTAAAAAGGAAGTGCTTGACTGGCCTAATGCATTTTCTGTTTCTGACAGTATATAGGTACATATTATAGTGAGTTGGCTGCTTCTGAACTCCCAAACTGAACTCAAACTAATCTGTTAGAACACACACACACACACACACACACACACACACACACACACACACACACACACACACACACACACACACACACACACACAC